CCCGTGTTTCCCCAGGAGGTTGGGATAAGTCCACACGGAGGTGTTAGCAAGGCCTGGTTACAATGCCAGCCACAGGCAGGACTGTGTTAATTTTTCAGTGTAAGGAGGAGAAACAGAACACCAAAAGCTTCAGAAAAGCAGCCACAGACGAGGTCTCCAGCTTCATTAGGCAGGGATGGGTGAAGGGCCCAAGGCTGGCCTGAACCTACAGACCAGGTGCCTCTTCCTGCCTTTCCAGTGACATCTAAATCCCTGGGCTAGAGCTGCTCTCCTTCCCTCAAGGTCTGCAGCTGGCCAGGCTGAGGCCTCGGCTGCAGCTTCTGCCCATTCCAACACCACTACCCGAGAGCTTTCAAAACCTCCCTCAGCCCAGGCCACACCCCAGGGTGACTGAACTGAAGCTGCTGTGAGGCCCGCCTGACTTCCAGCATATCTAAGCTTCCCAGGCACAATGTTGACACCTGTGTGTGCTAAGACCTTGCTATTCATAGGAGCTCTTCCGGTCCTGCAGGCGCTTGTTTGCAATGCAGGATTGTCTCCACCTACTGCACTGTAGTGAGTCAGACTCACCATAACCAGATCCTCAAGGGACTGATTCACTAGGTACTTTTATTTGTTATTTTGGAGATGGGGTCTCGCCTGCTGCCCAGGCTGGAGTGCAGTGGGCGCGATCTTGGCTCACTGCAACCTCTGCCTCCCAGGTTCAAGCAATTCTCCTGTCTCAGCCTCTCGAGTAGCTGGTACTACAGGCACCTGCCACAATGCCTGGCTAATTTTTGTATTTTTTAGTAGAGACGTGGTTTCACCTTCTTGGTCAGGCTGGTCTCGAACCCCTGACCTCAGGTGACTCACCCGCCTCGGCCTCCCAAAGTGCTGGGATTGCAGCACGAGCCAGGTGCCTGCTGGGCCCACCAGCACTTTAAAGCCTAAGAAGGATCCCAGGTCTAGATGTCCCCACCCCAATCTCACTGACTTGTAGCAAGGAGGGTGCTGAGACCCAGGGAGGGGCAGCAATATGTGCACATTTCCCTATTAATTAGGAGGGCTGTTGGGGCCAGGTCAGCCATGGAGGAGGAGGTAATATTCACTCTGACCTCTTCCACCCTGTCCTCGCCTTAGGTAGCTTATTTCAGATGCCCTCCACCCCATCCCTCCAAGCAACAAGACAGGGGCACCTCGGCCATTTCCAGGCACCTGGGCGGGTCAGACTGAAGCACGGGAGGGCCTCTCAAACATCACCCCTCCTCCTGCTGAACCTCAGACCCCAGGCCCTCCTCAAAGATCCAGCCGGGCACCCTGCAGCCCTGTCCCTGACTGGGCAAGGTTCTCAAAGCTGGGGCTCTATCTGGTCTGATCCCCTTGAGGCCAGGCACCAGGCAGGTGCCGGCTCTGGGCAGGAATGCTGAACACATGAGTGACATGGCAGGGCTGACCTGGTAATGTCAGCCAGCTCCAGGAGTCTGCAGGAGTCCCCTCGCCCCGCCCCGCTCACTCCACGGCTGGTGAGGAGATGGATAGCCAGAGCCCCCACCCTCACTGGGCAGGGCTTCCGTGCAGGGCAGCCTGGGCCTGCAGGGCTCTGCCTAGGACTTTCAGTGGGAGCTCTGTGGGGGTCCTGAGACGGGTGGGGGTGTTGTGGGCTGCACAGGTGTTTCTCTGGCTGTGTGTGCGAGTGTGTGTGTGTGCCTGTGAGTGTGGCACCTAGAGCTTCCCTGCTCTGTTCAGCGCCCCCACCCCGAGTCCAGACCTCCTACCAAGGGTTCCAGGAGCAAGAAAGAGGAGAGAGGAAGGGAGGGGAGCCCCTGCCACTCACAGGGATCTGCTGTACACGCGTGTGTACACACATTCACATACACCCACCACTCTCCTGGTGGGAAATCCACCACACAGGCAGAGGCAGCCCTCAGCCACTCCAGAAGGACCTCGCTGAAACACGCAGTCCACACTTCAGAACCCCTCCACCTCCTCCTAGTGCCTCTGCCGAGAAGTCTCTCCTCCTTTGGCTTCGCCCTCCCGGGGTGGGGGCGGGAGGTGAGGTGGGCTTCCCAGAGGTGGGTGGTTTGTGTCCCAGGGGAGTTAGGAGGGGTGGTGAGGGGTGAGTCTGGTCCATGAAGAGGACCCAGCTCTCGCTAGGTAGGAGGGTAAAGGGAACAGGAAGCCAGGGAGAGGGCTTGGAATGAAGGGGCGGGTGGGGAAGACCAGAGAGGCACCAGCTCAGGCTGATGGGCGATGGCCTGGGCCTCTACGGAAGGAGACGTAGAAGACAGAAAGAAGGTGGGGGAGGGAGCTTCACTTTTAAAGTGGCAGTAGCTGGGCAAAGGGAGCCTTGGGCGGAGATGATGGGGGCTCAGGGCTCCAGGAGCAAGAGAGGTGGGCTAGAGGTAGGGTTAAGTTGGGGGCTCTAAAGTGATTGCCTGGACAGGAGCCACATGAGAGGAGGAGGGGCTGCAGGCTGGGGCGAGGGTGGGGGTTGGCTTGACAAACTAGGGGCAGTGGCTGGTGCTGGGCTCACGGTCTCTGCTGTGGGCTGGCAGGACCGGAGAAGTGAGGGTGAGGGGCGGAGGGGGTCTCCTGCCCAGGGAGACAACTGCTGAGACCGGCCTGACGTGGCGGGGAGCTGGGGGCTCCCGCCCAGCACGCAAAGGGCCGGGGGTCTCCTGCCCGGGTAGGGGGCCGCGAGTCGCAAGGCCGGGTCCGCCCCGAGGGGCGGAGGGGGCCCGGTCCCGGCCGGGCGCGTACTGTCCAGGATGACGGCGGTGCCCCGCGCGGCGAGGCTGGGCCGGGTCCGCGGGGACGGCGGGGGCCAGCGGCTCCCGGGCTCGCCATCCTGGCGCCACTCCAGCGCGCAGCAGCCCGCCTAGCGCCCTCGGCCCTGCTGCGGTGGCTCCCTGGAGCAGCCTGTGCGCGCCGGCTCCTGCACAGGCGCTGCCCGCGCACACGCGGCTGCGCCTGCTGCTGCTGCCCGAAGCTCTGCTGATCCTGCCTCCCGACCCCCGCCCGGCCGCGGCCCGCCCCCGCGCGACCCCCTCCCCGCGCCGGCCGCGCTGCCCCGCCCTCTCTCCCGCTGCCCCCGCGGCCGCGGACACCGCGGGGACTGGCCAGCGCCGGGGGGCGGGCCGGCCAGACCCCGAGACACGTGCCCGCTCCCCGCCGCCCCCACCCCCGGCGGCCGGGCGCGGGGCCTGAGGACTGCCCGCCGGGGCTAGGGGCGCGGGCGCAGCCACAGATGGGGCTACCCAGAGGCGCGGGGTAGGTGGGGCCTGGGGGCGGGGCGGCGCCCCTGGGGTCTGCTCCCCAAAAGTCTCCTGCTGTCCCCGCTTCTAAAGTCCCCCCTCCCACTCGCGGCGCGCTGCAGGGGCCGGAGCGCGGGTGTCCAGCGAGCCCGGAGCGCCCTCTGCCGGCTCCAGCCCCAGGGAGAGGCGCCCACGCACCGCGGCCCTGTCACACCCGAGAGCGCCCACCCTTACCTCCCCCGGGCGTGGACGACCCTTCAGGCCGCCCCTTTCGTTACACAACGCCCAGAACCAGTCTTCACCCCAGAACATCTTTCTTTTACACTCCATCCACTCATCCATCTATCCACCCACCCACCCGTCCGTCCATCCATCCATCCATCCACCCGCCTACCTGTCCATCAATCCATCTATCCATCTATCCACCCACCCACCTGCCCATCCATTCATCCATCCATCCACCCACCCACCATCCTCCCATCCATCCATCCATCCATCCATCCATCTGCCCGCCCACCCATCTGTCCATCTGCCCACCCACCCTCCCATCCATTCATCCATCCATCCACCCACCATCCTCCCATCCATCCATCCATCCATCCATCCAACCTCCCTCCCATCCAACCACCCAGCCACCCTCCCTCCCATCCACCTACCCATCATCCTCCCATCCATCCCATCATCCTCCCATCCATCCAACCATCCTCCCATCTATCCATCCATCCATCCACCCATTCATTTAAAAGATGAATTAAGGAGAACCCACTAGGTGCCAGGCAGGTGCCCAAGTGCTGAGTTCTGGCAATGGGCAAAACAGATGGTATACTTGGCCTCCTGGAGCTCCTGGAGCTTACATCCAAGTGGGCAGAGCCAAACACTGAAATGATTCCACAAATAAGTGAACAACTAAAACTGAACTGCTGGCAGGGTGTGGTGGCTCATGCCTGTAATACCAGCACTTTGGAGAGCTAAAGAGGGCGGATCACTTGAGGTCAGGAGTTCAAGACCAGCCTGGCCAACATGGTGAAACCCCTGTCTATTAAAAATAAAATAACTAGCTGGGCGAGGTGACAGGCACCTGCAATCCCAGCTACTTGAGAGGCTGAGGCAGGAGAATCGTTTGAACTCAGAAGCAGAGGTTGTAGTGAACCAAGCACCACTACACTCCAGCCTGGACAACAAAATGAGACTCTGTCTCAAAAAAATAAAAAAATAGAAAAATAAAAACTGAACTGCTATGAAAAGGTAGCACCTTGGACCATGAGAGGAGTCTTTGCTGTGATGGCAGTGGAGGGATTTGTGTCAGAAGAGGCTTCCTAGAGGAAGTGATTCTTATACTGAGAGATCCCACGGAAGAGGAATTAAAGAAAGGCGGGAAACTGTCCTGGGCTGGGGACCCTCTGTGCAAAGGCCCTGCGGCAGGCAGGGACCTGGCCAGCAGGAGGGACTGAAAGGAAGCCACGTGGCAGAACAGAGAGGAGGGGACAGACTGCGGGGAGAGGGGGTCAGAACTGCAGCGCCCTCCGGGACACCACTCCCTGCACACACCCGCCACTGCCACCCCCAGGCTGTAGTACAGCTGCCCGCTTAACTGCCCCACACTTGGGGCACCATCCTTTGTACCCAAGGCCCCAGCCATGGACCTCATCCAGGACCACATGCCCCAGGACTCCTCCCCCAATCCCCTTCCCTCCCTTCCCCCGAGCCCAGTGCAGGCTCCTGGGAACACAGCTCCCTCCCTGAGCACAGAGTCCTCAGACGCATGAGTGCAGGTGGGCACTGGCTTTATTTGGGACCTGCTTCTGGAAGGCGCAGGCCTGCAGGTCTCCTGCTGGGTGCTCAGCTGGTCCTGGTGATCCCAGCTCACACCAGCAGCTTTCCCCCCAAATCCTAGGTCTAGGCCGACCTTGGCCTGTGGCCACTGTTACCACCTCAGACACTGGGATCCCTACTCCTCTTGACCCCAAAGGCCAGCTATGTGGGCTGACGCCCCTCCCTGGGGCATCTTTGGACGGGCCCTACATCCAGCAGGGATGTGGTCATCTTTGTCCTCTCAGGGCCTGGGAGCCAGCAGGTCTGGCCGGGTGTTAGGGTGGCTTCCTGGTTTCCTTCCTTAGCAGGGAGCTGGCCACAGCCAGGGCTCCCCCCTGCACAAACCTCACGAAGTTGTCCCCGGCCAGCGGCCCCATGGCGTACAGGCCCTCCTGGCGGGTGCTCTGGTAGGTGAAGGGGTCCACGTCAATGGGGTTCCTCTTGGTGCTCAGTGGCTGGTCAGGGTCCACTGCAAAGTCAGCCCCTGCCCCAGGCAGGAAGGAGAGGTCGGGGTGGGAGCCGATGAGGACCAGCACCAGGGAGACCTCAAACACCTTCTCGACACCCTTGAGGTCCTGGAACACGGCCTGGCAGTCTTCCTTGAAGCACAGCAGCCGGTGCCCGGGGAGGCTGCGGTAACCCTCGTAGGGGCTGGGTGACAGGATGGACTGCTCCCGCATCATCTGATGCACCTTGTGGTACTCAGGGTACAGCATCTTGGGCAGCTGGTTGAACACCAGGCCGGGGTCGTCCACGGCCCGGCGGAAGGCATGGATCACCGGGATGTTGTAGTGGCGGGCGTAGAGGACGGCATCAGCCGCTGACAGCCCCGCGCCAATGATGAGGACAGGGTCCGAGGCCGGGGTCAGCGCACCCACCCTTGTGGCTGCCTCCAGAGCGGACAGCTCATGGTGTATGAAGGGCAGGGCCTCCCCGGGGATGCCCAGCCGGGCTGGGCTGTCGAACGTGCCTGTGGCGAGGACCACGTTGCGGGCCCACAGCGAGAAGGGCTGCCGGCCCTGGTCCCTGCTCAGGAAGCCGCTCACCTGGAAGAGGGGGCTGGAGTCCTGGGCCCCACAGCTGTTGGGATTGGGGGTCCCCCACTCCACGGCTGTGACTACAGCACCGGACACAAAGTTATGCCCCAGACCCTTCTTGACCACGTAGTCCCTGTAGTAGTGGGCAATGTCCCCGGCTGTGGCCCGGCTGTTGCGAAGGCCTCTGTTGGGGAGGATGCAGGAGGCCAGAGTCAGACACTGTTAAGGGTTGGGGGGCTGGGTGGGATGGGAGAGGTCCAGGGCGGTATCAGGCCCTGGAGCTGGACTAAGCTGTAGCTGTAGGACTGGGCCAGGTAATTCAACCTCTCCAAGCCTCAGTCTCCTCTTCTGTAAAATGGAGCTAACAAGGGTACCTCCCTCAGGAGAGGTGGTATAGGGTAGTGTAGGGTGGTGTAGGGCGGGGTTCAGAGTGCAGCCTCCAGAGCCACACTGCCTGGGCTCGAATCCTGACTCTGCCATCAGGGAGCTGTGTCTGTTTCCCCAGTTTGCAAAATGAGGAAGATGTTGGTGGCAGGACCTATTTCGTGAGGTCGTGGAGAGAATTTGGTGAGCCGATAAAAACAAAGGGCTTAGGATGGAACCTGACTGGAAGGAAGTGCCACGTGAGGATAGGCCACCATGATTGTCACCTCAAAGGATTAAATATGGTATGATTCTGTTTTTATAGAGTTCAGAAACAGGCAGAACTCATCTATGGAAGCGCACATCAAGAAAGGGTTACCTCTGGGGATGGGGAAGGGGGTCCTGGTCAGAAAGGACATGGGGGCTTCTGGGGAGAAGGTCGGTTTCTTGATTCTCTGTGCTTACCTTGAGAAATTTCATCAACCTGTACTCACAGGAGTTAGGTACTTTTCTATATGTAGCTATTTTTTGAATTTTATTTTATTATTATTTTTTGAGACAGAGTCTCACTCTGCTGCCCAGGCTGGAGTACTGTGGCATGATCTCAGCTTACTGCGGCCCCTGCTTCCTGGGCTCAAGCGATTCTCATGCCTGTGCCTCCTGAGTAGCTGGGACTACAGGCGTGCAGCGCCAAGCCTGGCTAATTTTTGTATTTTTATTAGAGATAGGGTATTGCTGTGTTGGCCAGGATGGTCCGAACTCTTGACCTCAAGTGATCCACCGGCCTGGGCTTCCCAAAGTGCTGGGATTACAGGCTGACACCACTGCACCCGGCCCATATGTAGTCAATTTAAAAGTTGATTTAAAGACTCCCACGTGAGGCACTCACCATCATTCCCAGCCCACACAGCAGCAGGAGGTATTTTATTATCGTTGTTGTTGTTTTCATTGTCACTCTTTCCAGGGGCAGTGACTGCAGGCCCATTCTTGTGGGGGTTGAATGACAGGCTTTGGCATCATCCTGGCACCTTCCTGTATCTCACTGTGTGACCTTAGATGAGTTCATTTACCCAGCTTGTGGGCTCATGGTTCAGGATGAACTCCCTTAGGGGACAATCCTGTGCCACCTGCTGTCTGGCTACATGTAGCAGGAGCTGACAATGGACCCCCAAGGCCGTGCCAGTCAACCCAGCGCAGCTCATCTGTGACCCTGGAATTTATCTCTGTGGGCCGCCTTCTCCTTTTCTCAGTTTTTGTAAAGGTTGTGATACAGAGCGGTCCCAAGAGCATGTTCTGTGCGGAGTTATTTATAATAATGACACAATGGAAAGAATGAACGCGCCAGGGCTGGCAGGGGCTGGGTAACCTTGGCAGCCCCGTGAGGGCAGGGGGTGTGTCTGCGGTGGTTTTGTGCTCTGACGTCTAAGCCCAAGGCCTGGCACATAATGAGCATTTGGTGATTTGCTGGACTGGGGATGCTTACCCGCCTTTGGGAATATTGTGAGGCCATGTAAAAGGATGGTTTTGAACGCTGTGACATCGCCACATGAAATGCTTGGGATAGAATGTGAAAACACAAAAGTAGGCTATGAAAGGCTGTGCTTACATGTGAAATGCAAGTTTCTGGCTGCCTACTAACACGCAGCTACACAAACCTGGGTGTCTTCCTGCCAGACATGCAGAAGAGTCTTTGCATCAAAGAGAGAGTGAGGCCTAGAGGGGGACGCCTGGAGTGCCTGCCGTTGGGGACATAAGCTGGGTCACAGCCCTGGGGGCAGAGGACGCCGGGCTTCCCAAGAGGCAGACTGCACCCAGGCATCTGCGCTGGGGCAGCTTCTCACTTGGGCGGACACACCCGGGAGGAGCAGGGGCTGGAACTCCTTTATTCAGTGATTGAAACTGTGAGAGGAAAATCAATCTTGGGCCCCCGAATCACTAAGTTAAAGGAAAAGTCAAGCGGGGAACTGCTTAGGGCAAAGCTGCTGCCATCCTACTCAAAGTCTTCCCTCTGCTCACTGAGATAAATGCACATCTGATTGCCTGCTTCGGAAAGGCTCATCAGAAACTCAAGAATGCAACCGTTTGTCCCTCACCTGTCGGAGACCTGGAAACCCCCTCCCTGCTGGAGTTGTCCCGCCTCTGGACGGATCCAATGTCCATCTTACATACACTGATTGATGTCTCAAGTCTCCCTAATGTATACAGCCAGGCTGTGCCCCGACCACCTTGGGCACATGTTATCAGGACCTCCTGAGGCTGTGTCATGGTCATGCATCCTCAGCCTTGGCAATTAAACTTCCCAAATTAGCTGAGACCTGTCTCAGATATTCAGGGTTCACAAACCATTTCTCTAGGGTGGCCATGATGGGGCAGGAAGCCAGATGGGGAGAAAATACCCCAGCAGTGAAAGGGTGGGGAGAAGTGTGCGTTTCGGGTGAGCTGTTTTCCTTCTCCATTTCCAATAATCTGCATGATCTTAGGTGAGTTAATTTACCCAACTTGTGGGCTATGGTTAAGGATGAAACTCACCTGTAGCAAAAGCATTAAAAAAAAGAAGAAAAAAGAAAGTCATCCTATTAGCTGACCCAGAAAGATTGTTCTAGGGCAGGCTCAGAATAGAGGGAGGGGCTGAAGGGAGACCACAAGGACTGGGGGACCTGTGCCAGAGGCATGGGGCAGGGCGTGAGGGTCAGGGGCCAGCTGTTACCCCCTCCTTAGGGGCTGGGGCACTCCGGGGAGGCCCAGTTGGGGGCCATGTGACAGGATGGTCTGCTGCTTGCACGGGACAGGGGGTCCTCGGGGGAGCCCAGCTCTGTTGCTCAGCTCCACTCATGTGGGGTGGACAAGTCCTTTCCCTATCTGAGCCTCAGTTTCCCCCTCTGGAAGAAGAGGAAGACAGACCAGATGCACTCTGAAGCCCCTGTACATCTGGCTCCTGGGCTCAGTGTGGGGGGCCTGTGAAAGGAAAATAAATCTTGGGGCCCCCCAAATCACAAAGCTAAAGGGAAAAGTCAAGCTGAGAACTGCTGAGGGTCAACCTGCCTCCCCTTCTATTCAGTCACCCCTCTGCTCACAGAGATAGATGCATATCTGATCGCCTCATTTGGAGACGCTCATCAGAGCCTCAAAAGGATGCAACTGTTTATCTCTCACCTACCTGTGACCTGGAAGCCCCTCCCCGCTTCCTGCCTTTGCTTCAAGTTGGCCCACCTTTCCGGACCGAACCAGTGTACTTCTTACAAATACTGATTCACATCTCATGTCTCCCTAAAGTGTATAAAACCAAGCTGTGCCCGATCACCTTGGCTACACGTCCTTAGGACTTTCTGAGGCTGTGTAATGGGCGTGTCCTCAACCTTGGCAAAATAAACTTTCTAAAGTAACTGAGACCTGTCTCAGATTTTCTGGGTTCACAGGCCCAACCTTCCGTGTCCCCCAAGGCATCCTGGGGCAGCCTCACCTTCGCTTCTTCTGCATCCAGTCCTTGACCTCCAGGTCCGGGAGCCCCATCCACTGGCCTTGGCTCAGGGTCACCATGGAGCCTTCGATGGACTGCAGGAAAAGGAACGCTTTGGTCCAGGCCTCTGCTAACCTGAACCCATTTGGGGCTAGAGGGGATGGGAGGCCTTGGTTGGGGCTGGGTGGAGGGAGGAGGGAGAGGCAGGGTTGCGGGGTAGAGAATGAGGAAAGGGAGATGCCAGAGTCCCAGCTCCAAGTGGGGAGAATGAGGGAGAGAGCCCCCCCCCACAAGGCATGCCCTCGCTGCCCCACTTACGTGCCAGGCTCCCCCGGGGAGGTTCCGGCCCAGGACCACATGGGGGATGGCGTGCTCCTTCTGGTGCTTCCAGGTGAGGACCGACTTCATGTTTCCCCCAAAGTCTGTGTCTGGGCGCAGAAGGGCATCAAAGAGCAGGGCCACGGGGCTTTGGGATCGGCCTTCGAGGCCTTCAGACAGGTAGTCCAGGTCCTGGAGGGGGGCACAGGTCAGAGGGGCTGCTGGAGGAGGGCGGGGTCGTCTTCCCAGAGTCTCAGGCTGGGCAGGAATGTGGGGATTGGGGCTGGGCCATTTCCGTGGCACTGGAGGGTCTCAGAGAGATGCGCACACTGGGGGCGGTTTGAAGCTCTCATTTTGAGGGTTTTCCAGGAGGCCAAGGGCCCCAGAGTACAGAGCAAATGGGCAAGCTTAGATGAGACTGGGGCGATTGCCTGAGCCTACACCCCTACCCTAATATCAGCGTGGTCAGATCAGCTGGGGAGGTGCTGCGTCTTTGTTTTTGTTTTGTTTGTTTTTTTTTTTTTTTTGAGACGGAGTCTTGCTCTGCCGCCCAGGCTGGAGTGCAGTGGCGCGATCTCAGCTCACTGCAAGCTCCGCCTCCCGGGTTCGCGCCATTCTCCTGCCTCAGCCTCCTGAGTAGCTGGGACTACAGGCGCCCGCCACTTCGCCCGGCTACTTTTTTTGTATTTTTAGTAGAGGTGGGGTTTCACTGTGGTCTCGATCTCCTGACGTCGTGATCTGCCCGCCTCAGCCTCCCAAAGTGCTGGGATTACAGGCGTGAGCCACCGCGCCCGGCCGGCGGTGCTGCCTCTTCACAGTAGATAATGCAGGCGGGTTCTGACAAGTCCTGCAGCCATCCATCATTTACCTGTTTAATTTTGCCAAGCCCAGTGTGTCCCTGTTTTACTGGAGTGGGGACATTTTTCTCTGTATATTATACTGAGGAACTAGTATTCTATGGAGAGCATTTTGAAAAATACTGATCCAGATCAAATGGTCAAGACCTATTTCCTCATCCCCAGCTTGGGCGGGAGGGGAACAGGAGGAGGATGTATGCTGCCTGACGAGGGAGGTCAACAAGGGGAGGTCGTGGAGGGGCACAGTGGAAAACAAGGGTATGGAAGGAGATTTGCAAACCCTTGTGGGCAGGAGGTAGTGGGACTGAAATATCTATGGCAGAGTTTCTCAACCTTGGCCCCACTGACATTTGAGCCAGATCGTTCTTTGTAGCTAGAACAAAGTCATCCAAATGTCAGTGGGGCCAAGGTTGAGAAACTCCACCGCAGATATTTCAGTTCCACCACCCTCGCTGTCCTGTGCAGTGTTGGACGTTTGCCAGCATCCCTGGCCTCCACCCTGCTAGATTTGGTAGTACCGCCACCCTGCCATGACAACCCAAATTGTCGCCAGACATTGCCAGGTGCCCCCGAGGAGAAAAATCATCCCTTCCTTGAGAACCATGGGTCTAGGGCATAGTGAGTCCTAGACCATGTGGCATTTGTGGGTCTCTGATTTCTCTTTCATGATCTCCCTGGCTGACTTTGTGGACTCTTGAATTCTGTATTCGGTCTTGTTTCCAGCAAACACACACTTTTGTTTTTCCCTGGGAAAGCTGCGGTAGTTTTCCAAGGGCGGGTGTGTCCTCCCCAGAGCTCCGGCCCCAGGCTGACCCACCTGGTCCAGGATGGAGACCCCCGGGGCCTCGGTGAGCTTCCTCTGCAGCAGGGGGTGTGGGTGGACGGCATCTGGCTTCACGTAGGGTGTGTAGCCGGAGAGCAGGTACGACAGGCAGATACCAGAGGGGCCGTTACCTGGGGAGAGAGGGTGGAGGTTAAAGGGGGTGGCCTTTTCAGGTGGGAGACACTACTGTGGAACGCTTTGATCTAGATGTGGCACATTCATTCATTTATCCTTCATTCATAAAAATAAAATATTGATTAAGCCCTTAGCCTGTGCCAGACACTGTGCCTAATGATAATTTAAAAAAGAAGGAATGGACAACTGCTGAGAGCTTCTTCTGTGCCAGGAATTGTACTGAGAGCTTTCGCAATAGCCTCACAATAGCTTCAGTGAGGTAAGTGCTACTCTTTTCCTCCTTTTATCCTTAAGGAAATGTGTACAGAGAGGTTAAGTAACTTGCCCATGGTCACACGGCTGGAAGGTAGATGAGCCGGGATTAAAACCCAGACAGAGGGAACCTCTGACAACATGACTGAGATTCTGAGATTGCTAAGAACTAGGTCAGGTGGATGAGTGAATGTAGCACAGACTGCTACGTGGCCTGGGGGCGAGCTTGAGTGGTGGGTGCTCGTGGGCACTCAGGGGTGCCGGGCCACCTGTTGGGTCTGCTGCTTGCATGTCTGAAGAACTGCGCCACCATCTGTGGTGCTTCCTGGGCAATTCACCAGGCACAGCCCTGTGATAGCGCTTCTCTTTTTATCTGTCCTTTCCCCTCTCCTTATCTCGTCTGATTCAGAATATTACTCATATGTAGGATACCAGGAGGAACCATAAGAAATCACAGGCACCCATCTGTTTTTGCCTTACAGAAATGACCATCTCACGTGGCTCAACTGGACGTCTGCATACTGGGGGGTCATCTGTCCCCATTTTTGCAGACAGAGGACAGGAATTATAAGCAGCTGCTGTGTGTCCTCTCGTGTGGGCACCTAGCACAGTGCTGGGCACAGGGTAGTCATGGGACCACTGCGGGCTCAGGACCAGGCCTCCCTGCCCCACGCTGGGTTGCCTCCAGCTGATGGGTGTGTTCTAGAGCCCTGGGTTCTCGGAGGTGTAAAAGGGAATGATAGTTTATAAACAGCTAAGCCTAGCACTGGCCACATAGTAAACGCTCAATGGCTTAATTTAAAGACCACTGTAAAGAGGCCAGGCCTGGGCCAAGCATGGTGGTTCACACCTATAATCCCAGCACTTTGGGAGGCTGAGGCAGGCAGATCACTTGAGGTCAGGAGTTCGAGACCAGCCTGGCTGACATGGCGAAACCCCCTCTCTACTAAAAATACAAAAGTTAGCTGGGCGTGGTGGCAGCCACCTGTAATCCCAGCTACTGGGGAGGCTGAGGCAGGAGAATCGCTTGAGCTCGGGAGGCAGAGGTTGCAGTGAGCCAAGATCGCACCACTGCACTCCAGCCTGGGTGACAGAGTGAGACTTTGTCTCAAAACAAAAACAAACAAACAAACAAAACCCCGAAATACAAAAAAAAAAAGGCCAGGCCTGGACTTGCCCAGCTCCTGCCCTCAGACCTGGGGGGTACCCGGAAGGCTCAGCGGAGCCCCTCCCCGGCTGCGGCTGACACTCACCCACGATGATGACTGGGAGGGGCTCTGAGCTGCTGGCACCGAGGTGGTCCTTTCCGGAGGAGCTCATGGCTGGTGGGGGGCTTGGGGCTGGCGGTGGACCTGGAGCGGGGGAGAGGGGAAGGAAGAGCACGTTTGGGTGAGGCCTGGGTGTCCACACAGCCACTTCACCTTCCAGCTAGGGTGGCCTCCTGTGGCCCCTAGGGTCTTGTCCGGGGTCCCCGTGAGGCATATCTGATGGGACTCCCTTCTTGCTCCCACACAGCCTCTGCTCCGAACAGCCCGTCTGCCCCACCCCCTCCCCGGTCATGCAGGACGTGACCTTCCCTCCTCTGGCCTGGTTGCCCCAGGCAGCCACTGTCCCTCTGAGCCTCACTCTACTCTCCCATCTCACTGGAGCAGCAACAGTCCCCGAAGCTCATTATCTGTCTTCCCGAGAGGCCGTTCCTGGCCAACCCTACCAGGCCCTTCTGTGGGCCACAGCCCTCGAGTCCCAGTGTGGCCTGATGGACTTTGGAGTCGTCACCCAGCCCTGGTAAGTTGCTCCCTATCCCATTCCTGGGCCTCTCTGGGTCTCAGTTTCCTCATCTGTAAAATGGAAGCAGTGGGTCCCTACCTCCTAGGATGGTTGAGGGACGCAGTGGGGTCACAGACGGGAAGCACCTGCCTGGAGTGAATTTGCCACGGGGAAAGGGCTAGTGCTGTGGCCTGCCCCAGGGGCTGGGCTGGACTTGGGGAAATGGAAGCAGTGGCCAGGTTTGGGGATGTGCCGGTGAATCTGCCATCTCTGGGGCAGCGGCGCCCTCTGCTGGCCCCAGGCCCAAATCGCTCAAAGGGACTCAGGTGCTGGTCCTAGAGCTGCCAGTGCCCAGAGGGGCATCAGACCCACCTTCTCCCCACACCAGCTCGCAGAGGACACTAGCCTCACACGAGGGCCAACACCCTTGTGGGCACAGGGATGGTGAGCATTTGGCACTTACTCTGTACCGGGTATTTGACATGCTTTTTCTCCTATCCGCCTCACACTGACCCTGTGCAGTCCTGGCCGTGTTAATGTCCCATTCCACAGATGTGTGAACGGGGCTCAGAGAGGTCGCACAACCTTCTCAGTGTCGTGCAGCTGGCTTTGAAACCCAGGGCTCACTGGTGCCAAGACCCTGCCAGTGCCACCACCCACGCCATTCGGCCTGTCCCCCATGGAGATCCAGGTGCCACACTCACAGGGGAAAGACTGAGTGGGAGGGCACTGGGCTTGGACCATCCAGAGTGGCCAGGGGTGGGGGCCCAGGGTCACCTGCCTCCAGAATTCTTCCAGAGAAAGTGGGAATCTGGATTTCTATGCGAATTATCTGATTTGAAGAAGTTCGCAATGAATGAAAGCACAGTTTTGGAAGATCCTTAACAGGCCAGCCAAACACAGCTGAGACCAGTGTGTGACCTCTGATAGGTGCAGGGTGACAGAAACACCATCGTCCACGTCCAGGCAGGCTCTGAGGAGATGGATGAGAGACTGCCATACAGATGGGCCACTGAGAGGACCCGAGTGTTGCCCCCGCAGTGACAACAACTGACCTTCTTACAGCACTCTACAGTGGGAAGGAGGCTGCATCTAAGGAGCAGCATCCACCCGCTCAGCAGCCTTGACAGGTGAGCCCCGTCACCTCCGTCCTGCAGGTGAGGAGAAGGAGGCTCCGAGGGTGAGGATGAGCCCAGCAGGGAAGGGGTCTGTCAGGGACCCCTGTGTTGGTGCTCTCTGCTCCCCTGAGCGCAGCCTTCCTTGCCTCCGCTGGGGTGGGGGCCAGGGACAGCTTCCGTGTCCTGTCTAGGCAAGCCCGTAGGCCCAGCACCCAAGACCTCCTCCTCCCTTTCCGGAGAGAAGGAAGGTGACATCCTGCAGTCGCCAGGGACCACATGGCCTCTTCCTGCCCGGCTCCCTGCAAGGCCCCAGGATGCCTGCCTGGGGAGGGGATTTCAGGGTGACGCCACCACCAATTATAATAATAGTGATAGTCACCAGAACAACAAAGGCAGCATGTGGCTGACATTTCCATACTTCGGTGGAGTGGGCTGCGTGCCAGGCATGATCTCAACACTTAATACACATTAACAAACTGAATCCTTATTTAATCGGGTTGTTGTAAGTACTCTGAGGGCCAGAGAGTTTCTCACGGCCCTTTACAGTCTGCAAGGTGGTTGAACCAGCTTTCACAGGCTGGGCTGGATCGGAGCCCAGGTCGCCCTGCTCCAGAGCCTTCTCTGTGCCCTGAGGGCTGTGACAGCTCCCGCTGAGACCCCTCTGCCGGGTGGAACGTGCAGTGTCCGTTCCAGGGTCCCCCACTGCTCTGTCACAGCGCTAGTGGCAGGCGGGGAGGCAGAGGGACAGCTGATGACCTGGTGTTCTGGCCGGGATCATTTCTCATTGACCCTGAGCGCTGGGTATACCCAGAGGCCTTGGAGAATAGGACTGCGGGTCCCAGACAGCTTTCTCTGGCTTGCTCCTGGTACCCTCGAATGGCTCCGAGCCCCTCAGTCCTCATCATGGTCCGCGGGAACAGCAGCCACTGGGGAGCACGGGACCTCCTGGTAAGGGGCTTCCCCACATTACCTCCTTTGATCCTCCTAGCAACCCACTTTGCAGATGAGGAGACTGAGGCTTGGAGAGGTGAAGCCATGCCCTGAGGCTATCGAGCCAGTGGGTGATGGAACCCATATTTGATCCCCGTGGACTGACCCCCCAGACACCCCAACCCCTTCCCCAAACGGGTGAGCCAACCTGCTCCGTCTGCCCCAGTGCACCCGCCCTGGGCCGTGCCCTGCCCCTCCTTTGTTCTTTTGGATTCTCCCACCACTCTGAGAAAGACACTTGCAGGAGCCCCTGTTGGCCAGTGAGGAATCAGAACTGGCTGCCCCTTACCACCCCCTGCAGGCAGCAGAGGGCACTGATTTACCGCCAGGGCTTTGGGGCTCCAAGTCCAGGGCTCCCTCCTGAGACTGTCCTCAGACACCTGAACAGAAGCTTCTGGATGCCACATACGTTGAGGTCACCACCCAGGGGCTGGACCTGAGAAGTCACTTCCTGTGCAGAGTGACCCAGGACTCCCCAAAGTCCCAAGCAGCTTGACGCTGTCACCCATTACCTCAGACAAATATGCTGCTAACTTACAAAAGAGCATTCAAAAGTTTCATTTCAATTCTTTTTGTGCTTTTCAGTTTTATGGAGTTGGAAGAATCAATTTTTAATGTTATCTTTTTAACTCCCTTTGATTGAAGATGGCAGTTGATGGAAAGAAGTTCACATTAAAAATTGATGTTTCAAATCTCACAAAGTCAAATATGATAAAAGAAATGAAAACAGTTGCACCTTCGACTGATGTTTCTTTCAAGTGTGCGGCATTTGTACTTCTGAGGTTGTTAAAGCTGCAAACTGCTCTGAGACTCTGGGACACCTGTATGTCTGCATTTCTTTGGCACCTCTAGTGGCCATTTACTCATTTGCCTTTGAAGACACCCCAAGAGGTGGGCTTTCTCATCCCCATTGTGCAGAGGAAGAAACGCCCTTCAGGAGGAGTGGGCGTCTTGCCTCAGGTCACCTAGGAGTGTCCAAGACCATGGCCATGTGACAAATCTTAGTTCTGCCAAGTCCCCTCCAGTAAAACAGCTGATAACAGGGAGACCAAGAAAGTGACATGAAGCCCTGGGGAGGCTAAAGTGGGAGGAGGTGGTCTGTCCACGCAAGCCGCACTTGCTGTTTATCAGAGATGAGCCCTCACCCCAGTGCCGCACACCTGGAGCCCAGGATCTCCTGCAGTTCCCCAGCCTCCCAGGGGCCGCCCTCCCGACCCACCGCACTCTTGAGCCTCCTGAGAGAAGCTAAGTCGCTGGGACCTCTGGGGCTGGGGGCTGTTCATGGGCACCCATGGCTCCATCCCTCCTGAGCAGAAGCAGAAACCCGGAGGGCACCCAGCCTGGCTGCTGATACAGTGGCCTTAGAACAGCTGGGCTGGCCACACCCCTCTTTCCTGCTAGGAACGGCGGTTACATGGGCCAGGGTACGCTGGGACTGTGGCTGCTTCAGCTGCTTGGCTGAGGGTGCCAGGGACACAGCTGAGGATCCGGGAGGAACCTGGGGTAGGGGAGAATCCTGCCAGGCTCCAGAGAACCCAGGGGAGGGCTTCCACTCAGGACCGCCCGGGATCACTGCCTGGCGCCAGGGCTCTGCAGACCCTCCAGTCCATCTGGGCTTGCCACTGGTGCCTGGGATGTGCCTGATTCCCTGCCCCGGAGCCTGGCCCCGGACACTCACCTGACAGGCAGTGGTGCGGGAGCCCGGCGAGCCTGGCCAAGTTGTGCTCTAGGAGGGTCAGGGGATCACAGATCACAGAGTCCCCCGTGAGATCGGGACACCCATTACCCCGTGGGGATCCAAGAGGCTCTGAGAGGCCAGAGGGAAGTGAGGGTATTTCACAGGGAGGGAGGAGGCGGCGCAGGCAGTGGGCGGGGCCAGGAAAATCACTTTCATAAGCGTGAGTCAGCAGGGACCCGTGATGAATGAACTTGCACACTGGGCGGGTGTCACGCTGCCTGCCTCATGGCCAGCCTTAAAGGGCCCCTGCTGGGCAGCCTGCCAGGGGGCCTAGGGTGACGCTCCCTCCCAGCCACCTCCCCCCAGCCAGACCCCCATCCCCAGGGCTCAGTCTCTGGAGGAGGAACCAGTGACCTCTGAATGAGCCAGCCTGGCCTTTCCCACAAGGAGGAGGAGATGGCTTTGTCCGGCACACAAAGTAAACCCGTCCAGTTCCCTCATTCCACCAGGATTCTACTGCACCCTCCAGACCCAAAAGCCCTCTGGCACCAGCCTGCCTGGGCTGAGAATCCAGCTTTGCCATTTCTTGCCTGCAGGGCTCTGGCAAGCTGCTTAGGGCCCACACCTCAGTTTTCTCATCTGAAAACTGGGGCCAAGTCACAGACTGTCTCTGCCAGAGTGGCTGTGAGGGTTTAAATGACATCTTTCTGGGCTACCACGCTTAGAACTTGAAGCCTGTTCCCTGGCTCTTCTCTCCTGTTTTGTGTGGGTAGCACTGTACACCCCACACCTTGCTGTTTCCTAATTATTATTATTATTATTATTATTATTATTATTATTTGAGACAGAGTTTAGCTCTTGTTTCCCAGGCTGGGGTGCAACGGCGTGATCTCGGTTCACTGCAACCTACACCTCCCGGGCTCAAGCGATTCCCCTGCCTCAGCCTCCTGAGTGGCTGAGATTACAGGCGTGCGCCACCACGCCCGGTGATTTTATATTTTTAGTAGAGATAGGGTTTCACCATGTTGGCAAGGCTGGTCTGGAACTCCCGACCTCAGATGATCTGCCTGCCTCAGCCTTCTAAAGTGCTGGGATTACAGGCGAGATACCGCACCCGGCCTGTTTCTGAATTATTTTATTGTCTCTCTTCCCAAACCAGAAGGTGAGCTCTGTGTGGGCAGGAAGGCGTATTCGCGACTGCTCTACCCAGCATCTAGAATAGCACTTAGCACACATAGGTGCCCAATATCGCTTAAACAGAAGGGAGGCAGGGAGGGGGGAGGGAAGTAGGGAGGGACGGAGGGAAGGAGGGAGGGAGGAAGGCAGGGAGGGAGGGAGGAAGGCAGGGAGGGAGGGAAGCAGGGAGGGAGGGAGGGAAGTAGGGAGGGAGGAGGGCAGGAAGGAGGGAGGAAGGCAGGGAGGGAGGGAAGGAGGGAGGGAGGGAAAGAGGGAGGAAGGCAGGGAGGGAGGGAAAGAGGGAGGGAGGGAAAGAGGGAGGAAGGCAGGGAGGGAGGGAGGGAGGAAGCTGACACGGTACACACATAGACCTCAGTGTATATTCGCTGTTATTTTCAGTGTTGATGTTGTTGTAGAGCTCATCCTCCCATCTGCCACCTTGGAGGGGTGGGGGATGGGGGGTGCACCTTTGAGTGCAAACTTTAAGAGGAAACCAAAACCAGTAAACAAAATAAGATTTTGAGGCAATTAAAAAAATCTAAATTAATGCAAAAAAGCCAGGATAAACCCAGACAGCTTCCAGAGCAGTGCCTTGGGGCTGATGCAAAAGGAGAACCAGGACTTCCGATGCTGTGTTTATAATAAAAGTTTGATCTTTTTTTCATTCTGGATTTTTTTTCATGAATTTTGATTTGTAAGAAGACTGCATGTGCACAGTATGTATTCTGGTGATGGGGGTGCTTTGGTGCCGCTAACATTTTGTGCCTGAGGTGATGCCTCATCCTCCTCACCCTCATCCTGGACCTGGTGGCCACAGCCCTGCCCTGAAGTCACGTACAGCCTGGAAACCACAGCCCAGGGCCCCAGAGCATCTGCCGGCAGGGCTGGGGCTGGGTCCTGGTGAAAAACACTTCTGATAAGGTGAGAGTAGCAGGAACCTACAGAGGGGAGGGAGGGAGGGAGGGAGAGAGAGAAGATGAGAATGTTGTGCATGTGGGCACATGTGCTCATGTGTGCATGTGTGTGTGTACCTGTGTGCCAGTGCTGGCACTAAGGGAGGGCCTGATGGCTGGCGGTAAGGGTTTAGGGGGCAGAATGAGAAGCTGGGGTGAAAAAGCTTAGGAAAGAGGTTAGACACAGTTGGGTCCACATGCACAGAGGGCCAGGAGGGCTGGGGAGAAAGCCAGGACTGAGCTGGGTCTCTCCTTCCCCTCCTCTGCTTCCCTGGGTGACCTGTGCCCAGGGCCCTGTGATCGGAGAGCCCAGAGTTTGGTTTAATGCTCTGCTGCCACTGCCTTAAAATTCTTAATTTTGAACATGAATGTCCTGAATTTCCATTTAGTACTTGGCCCCAAAATCACATGATGCGTCCAGCCTGGGGCTGCATGCACCCTGCATGAGGCTGGGTAGGTGGGAGCTGTCTGTGGGTTCAGCCCTGGCGGGCTGGGTAGGCTTTGACGAGGCATAGTCCCCTCAGCCTCAGTTTTAACCAAAGGAAATGGGCCCTCGTATTCCTTTCCTCCCGGGGCCCTCAACAGCAGTGTCCCACAGGGTGGGTGGGGGGGCGGGGGGAGCAGGAAGCCCCTTGCTCTGAGCCTCGGCTCCTGGCCAGTGTCTAGCCCCACCACAGGTGTGCTGTGTGACCTGGGGTGGGAAGCCTCCCTCTCTGGGCTTCTGTTCCAGCTGCAGCCTTGTGATGAACACTCTCTCACACTCTGAATGTGCAGCTCCAACACATCAGGACCTAGACAGGGGTTCTGAACATGAGGGCAGGGAGCGGGGCAGCTGCGGCCGACGTACCTCTTGTCTGCACTGCATATTTCCCCGGCAGTAGCCTCTCGGTCTCCACTTCCCCGTCCCACGGTGCCCAGTCTGCAGCTTCCAAGAGATTTTGGGTGTGTAAACTGAGGCAGAGAGAGACATGCACCCAGGATCAGAGACCCCCCCCCACCCTGGAGTGCACAACTCCTTAAGGCTGGGGCTTGAGAAGGCCTGAGGCTGCGGGTCTGAAGGGGAGACCCGGGAAGGAGGTGGGCTTCCCCGGACCCCGTCTCGTCTCCTGGGCTTGGCCTGGCCCTTCCTCCAAACCTGCCCTGCCCCTGCTGACCCTGACCTTGTTCTAGAATTTGAAAATTTGCTGATATGGAGAACTGTGGGGCGAGACGTGGACTTTCCTCCCTGCCATCTTGTTTACCTGTTACGTGATGATTGGAAACAGAATTGCTGAGTTGCTCCTGGAAAGTTTGACTAAGACAAAGACAGACACTGTTAAAGGCAGGCAAATGGGCGATGGTTAGAAGGGCCACGGAGAGGGGAGGAGCCAAATGGGTCTTTGCAGGCTGACTTGAGGGGGCTAGCTGTCTTGGGGGCCAGTGAATGCCCTGGTTCCCCTGGACCTGCCTTCTGCTTTGAGGCCATGAGTTCAAGTGGCTACTGAGAGCTTGCCACGTGATCCTCCAAATTCAGGTGTGCCCACAGGAGGGCTTCCAGAGACAGCAAAAGAAAATAGAGGTTCCAGGGAAATTTGAAATTCAGATAAATAAGAAACAAACTTTTAGTATAGCTTCAATATTGCACGTGACATACTTATACTAAAAGTTTATTTCTTATTTACCTGAAAATTCAAATTTCCCTGGCAGCCTGTGTTTTATTTGTCAATTCTAGTTGTAAATGTAAAATACATACAAGAATTCAAAGAATTAGCACTAAAAAGGTAAAATATCTCATTCATAATTTTAATATGGATTACATGTTGCAATGAAAATAAGGAAAATATTTGACATATTGGGCTAGATAGAATATATTATTAAAATTAGCCTGGGCGCGGTAGCTCACTCCTGTAATCCCAGCACTTTGGAAGGCTGAGGCGGCCGATCACCTGAGGTCAGGAGTTCGAGACCAGTCTGGCCAATATGATGAAACCCCGTCTCTACTAAAAATACAAAAATTAGCCAGGCGTGGTGGCAGTCACCTGTAATCCCAGCTACTCGGGGAAGCTGAGGCAGGAGAATTGCTTGAACCCAGGAAGCAGAGGTTGCAGTGAGCTAAGATTGAGCCACTGTACTTCAGCCTGGGCGACAGAGCGAGACTCCATCTTAAAAAAAAAAAAAAGAGGCCGGGCGCGGTGGCTCACGCCTGTAATCCCAGCACTTTGGGAGGCTGAGGTGGGCGGATCACAAGGTCAGGAGATGGAGACCATCCCGGCTAACATGGTGAAACCCCGTTTCTACTAAAAATACAAAAAAAAAATTAGCCAGGTGTGGTGGTGGGTGCCTGTAGTCCCAGCTACTTGGGAGGCTGAGCCAGGAGAATGGCGTGAACCCAGGAGGCGGAGCTTGCAGTGAGTCGAGATCATGCCACTGCACTCCAGCCTGGGCGACAAAGTGAGACTCCGTCTCAAAAAAAAAAAAAAAAAAAAAAGAATATATTATTAAAATGAATTTCACCCATCTCTTTTTATTTTAACTTGACTACTGGGATGTTGGAGGACACACATGGCTCTTGTTGGGTCTTTGTTGGACACTACTGGTGTGGACCTCGGCACTGTTGCTAACAAGAGCTGGAACATTCCAGGGTTCCTCACTGAAAGCCCCACTCTGTCCCAGGAACCCCCAGGCCTGGGTAAACCAGGAGAGTTGGTCACCCTGCAGTGCTGCAAGTGCCCAGGTGGGCAGTGTGGCCAGTAGAGGTGCTGTCCTTCTGAGCCTCAGTTTCCCCCTCTGTGTGCTGCTCCTGCCAACGTGGAGTGTTGCGGTGGTGGCGGCGGATCCGTGCAGGCTGAAGGAAGGGGCCTGGCACTGGGGAGCCCCTGGTGCTGGATGGCAGGCCCCTCCCCAGGCCTCCCCGACCCCCATGCAGGCTGCCCAAGAGCTGAGGAGCCAGGGGAGGAGCGGGGAGGGGTGGCCTCAGGGTGCATCCCTGGTGGTCCTGGTATCAAAATGGATCCCTTGTGCCCCTATTGGAAAACCACCATTCCTCT